GACCACAGCCAATACAAGTGCCTCCATTGGCAACAAGACCATATACAAGAGTTGTCAGCTGATTCCTCACCGCTTCCGAGTTCACCGTCGTCAGTCTCTTCAACGTGGCGGCTACAGAATTAAATGTTACTATGCCTACTTGACTGCCTTCATCAACGGTGGTCTGCAGGAATCCAACACAAGCTTTTTTCAAGTTAACTAATTTGTTGTTCTAAAATGGCAAAAAGGTCGGTGTCCGTCATTGAATATTTGAAAATGAAGCAAACATACTCTTAGTGCCTGATGTTTGACGTATACCACACAAGGAACACTGCTGAATAACATAACTATCGTCAGCAACACCAAAAATAGCATCAACATGATGAATCAAGTAACAAAGGCATAACTTTAGTCTTCATTGTTCTGTTAAGGGAATTGCTAAGAGGAATATACCAATGATAGGACAATTGTTAAGAAAATCTTGGCCGCGAAAAAAGTTTCTTTGCAGTGTGAGATGTAATTTTCCACCAAAAACTGGATACATATAACAAATTGAATTGATCAATCCTTATCAGGTATCTAGGAGTATGAATATTTCCTTTATGAATACAAATTACACTAAAGTATGTCAATATAAAAATGTCACTCACCGACGCCATACTTCCGGATACGTCGAGAACCAGTACATATCTCTTGAGTTGCTGTTGAACCACTTTGAAAGTAGGAGTTGTATCTATATAACCTTGTACAGGAGGATTATTATCTAGAACAATGGAAGAATTTGCTTTTTGTGAATATCTCATAACTGTGCATGATTTTCAGTTTGTCATTTTATGTGTTTTAAAAAATAAAACGGAAGCAACTTGAATTTCTTTCCTTTAAATATTTGCCTGCTGCTGAATTTTCAATTAACGAAAGTCGGTTTCGAATTATATCATCTATATCGTTATGGTAATTTAGAAGAGAGTTTGAAATAAAGATACATGCATTTCTTATCGCATTGTTAAAGAAAAATATAGTCAAGAGGAGATAAATGGGGCAACTCGAACGGGGGCATTATAATATTTGATGTATCTGATATATGGAATATTTCGAAGATTTCAATATTCTTCTGTCAAAGTTCAGTGAATAATATTTTTTTTTATGTACATGATGTTCACCATGTTTTTCTGAGAATTAATTATGAAACGTGAACCCTACTGTTCCTAAAATCTTCGTGCTCTCTCATGACTTCCCAGGCACTCCTGCCACCACAGAGTCTATTCTGCCTGTTAGGGGCCTGGTCGTTATGTAGGTCAAGTGCATGTGCTTGTTCATCATTGTCACAGAACTCGATAACCTGCAATAATAGACTTCCTTACTCCACTGTTTTTAATACTGTTTAATCATAACCTCAGAAAAAGCTTCTATTAAAATATTAAAATGGCATGTTACATCTCATGCCTGATAACAAAAAATATATATTTCATGATCAATGGTACTTTAAGAGTATGGCATTTTCACTTCTTGAACACTGTCTTGACATTGCATAACAAAAGAGTGACATTTGATTTATTTTCAAATTATGCTTTCACGTTAAACAAATTCCTAATGGAGATAATACTGTTGTCTCAGATATCGCTTACCGAATTCACGAAATGGTAGGACATGAGAGAGGCAGTCCCTTCATTGGCAGAGACAGAAGGGGCGAACCTGCAAATTCTCTCTGGCAGGCTGGTGTTTTTATCCAAGGAACAACTCCATATAATGTTGTCGTTAACTATCTTATACCCCCTTCCCATCACTCCACGGGAACAGCGCACGCTTTCTATCTCCCCAGATATGGAATCGTGGTAAAAGTGAGCATCGTTTTCGTCCACCGGATACTCGTCAAACAAACCCCAGCGCAAATGTCCCCACTCATGGAGGACTGTCTTAGCTGAAATATGGAAGGAAAATGTTGAAGAAAATCATACAGCCTGTGAAATAAGTGAACCTCAGTTAGGGCTAAAAAAATAGAGCAAAGTGCTAAAATGTGGCATTTCTTTCTCTTTACATGGCTCTCAAAATATCGAGTGTGTGTACTGCAAGAATAAAGTGTGACAAAAGCGGCACAGTTGGCCCCTTTAAGGTTTTGACCGTTTCTTATTGTGACTTAATAATAAGAAAACTTCAGTGAGCTCTATATGTCATACCTAAACAAATGAATGGTTCTTGCTTGAAAAAGATAATCCTGGATTCCATAAGAGCATTTTTTCAACAACTTACCTGGAGAGCTGCCGTATTGCCTTGCAACGGCATCGTCTAGTACAAATGCGGGAGTCAAGTGCATAAACGTCCCCGGCTGTCCACATTCTCCCTTTTGTTTGACGTATGGGTTGTCACCCTCTAAACCGCTGGGCTTGTCTATAATGACATTGGCTTTATCAAATGCTTCAATTCCTGCTTGTCCATAGGTGGAGTTTTCCGGCCATGATTTAGGGACGAGAATGGTAATATCTCGGAGATAGGCGCGTCGTTTCGTTGCAGTAAAAAGCAGGGCGGACATTTCTTCGAAGTATTGCTGAGGGATATTAGAATAATTCAATAGGTTGCATATCTAAATATATTTAGATAATAATTGTAATTGATTTGTTTCTACCTTAACCTTCAACATCCAACATCCTTTTTAAAACCAAGGCCATACATATATATATACAACGCAGGTTCTGTTCGATTCTATACATTTTTTTAATAAATCAACGGCTGGCATATTGTCTNGTTTAAGAAAAATATAGTCAAGAGGAGATAAATGGGGCAACTCGAACGGGGGCATTATAATATTTGATGTATCTGATATATGGAATATTTCGAAGATTTCAATATTCTTCTGTCAAAGTTCAGTGAATAATGTTTTTTTTATGTACATGATGTTCACCATGTTTTTTCTGAGAATTAATTATGAAACGTGAACCCTACTGTTCCTAAAATCTTCGTGCTCTCTCATGACTTCCCAGGCACTCCTGCCACCACAGAGTCTATTCTGCCTGTTAGGGGCCTGGTCGTTATGTAGGTCAAGTGCATGTGCTTGTTCATCATTGTCACAGAACTCGATAACCTGCAATAATAGACTTCCTTACTCCACTGTTTTTAATACTGTTTAATCATAACCTCAGAAAAAGCTTCTATTAAAATATTAAAATGGCATGTTACATCTCATGCCTGATAACAAAAAATATATATTTCATGATCAATGGTACTTTAAGAGTATGGCATTTTCACTTCTTGAACACTGTCTTGACATTGCATAACAAAAGAGTGACATTTGATTTATTTTCAAATTATGCTTTCCCGTTAAACAAATTCCTAATGGAGATAATACTGTTGTCTCAGATATCGCTTACCGAATTCACGAAATGGTAGGACATGAGAGAGGCAGTCCCTTCATTGGCAGAGACAGAAGGGGCGAACCTGCAATTTCTCTCTGGCAGGCTGGTGTTTTTATCCAAGGAACAACTCCATATAATGTTGTCGTTAACTATCTTATACCCCCTTCCCATCACTCCACGGGAACAGCGCACGCTTTCTATCTCCCCAGATATGGAATCGTGGTAAAAGTGAGCATCGTTTTCGTCCACCGGATACTCGTCAAACAAACCCCAGCGCAAATGTCCCCACTCATGGAGGACTGTCTTAGCTGAAATATGGAAGGAAAATGTTGAAGAAAATCATACAGGCCGTGACATAAGTGAACCTAATAGAGCATAGTGCTAAAATGTGGCACTTTTTCTCTTTACATGGCTTGTAAAATATCGAATGTGTGTACTGCAAGAATTAAGTGTGATAAAAGCGAAACAGTTGGCCCCTTTAAGGTTTTGACTGTTTCTTATTATGACTTAATAATAAGAAAACTTCAGAGAGCTCTATCTAAACAAATGAATGGTTCTTGCTTGAAAAAGATAATCCTGGATTACATAGGAGCATTTTTTCAACAACTTACCTGGAGAGCTGCCGTATTGCCTTGCAACGGCATCGTCTAGTACGAATGCGGGAGTCAAGTGCATAAACGTCCCCGGCTGTCCACATTCTCCCTTTTGTTTGACGTATGGGTTGTTACCCTCTAAACCACTGGGCTTGTCTATGATGACATTGGCTTTATCAAAGGCTTCAATTCCTGCTTGTCCATAGGTGGAATTTTCCGGCCATGATTTCGGGACGAGAATGATAATATCTCGAAGATAGGCACGTCGTTTCGTTGCAGCAAAAAGCAGGGCAGACATTTCTTCGAAGTATTGCTGAGGGAAGTTAGAATAATTCAATAGGTTGCAAATCTAAAGATATTAAGAAAATAATTGTAATTGATTTGCTTCTACCTTAACCTTAAACATCCAACATCTTTTTTTTTAAACCAAGGCCATATATATATATATATATATACCGTACAACACATGTTCTGTTAGATTCTACAAATTCTTTAATAAATCAACGGCTGGTATATTGTCTTTAATAGTAGGCTGATCGATTTTTTTCCGCATTTTTCTTTTTGCCGTCAGTCTCGTAATCAAATAGCTAAGTAAAAGAAATAATGGAATGTATGCGATTGCAGAGCCTGAAAAGATATTTCAAATCAATTCAGGTTATTGAGCATGTACATTCGTGCTTTCATTTCTATTTTATTCTTCGTCAGCAGGAGGGAATGCAAATAATAAGTTGCATTTCTATTGCGATACCTCGATCTGCTTGACACTACGCAACAACATCTTGCGAAAAAGATAATAGTTTATTATGGTTAAGATGAAATATTCCAATCCAGCAATCCATAAACCAGACAGAGGCGGATCCAGGACTATTTGAAAGGGGGGGGGGGTGCGGATTCAAAGCCGACCCCCCCCCCCCTTGGCATGGGGTTCGGGGCCCGATTAAGGACCCCAAAAATGGTATTTTAAATGGCGAATGGTGCCATTTGGTACGGTTTAGAGCTATGATTCAGCTAGTCAAAATTATAATTCCCAGAGGGGACCACTGGTGTGTGTGTTTTTTCCAGAAATCGAAGGGGGGGGGGGGCAGGACCCCCTAACCCCCCCTTCTAAATTCGCCACTGCCAGGTGACACAGAGCCGTTAGCTTTTATGAAAGATGAGAACATAATTACCTGCTTGACGTTTTCTCAATTAAACAGCTACAGTTAATAACTCTATCTTTTCATCAAATATTTCAATTATATTCGGTCTGATTTGATATAAGCTGGGTGACCCACATTTGCAAGGAAAATAATAATTTAACAGGACAAAATACATATTGGCAGGGGTATTTATGATAGGGTTTAAAAAGCCTATCCCAAATTTCGATCAGCTACTTTTAATTGCAGTGTAACGCCGTGTTGGAATGCTTTCTTTATCATACGGAGCTACAAATATGATAGTGGGATATTCATCCACTGATGGAACGTCATTTAATCACCTAACAGGGAATACTTCAATAGGATTTGGCTTCTTTGGACAGTGTAACTTCCAATCAAATGACAATGGTAAAAAATAGCAAGTACTCTCTCTCTCTCTTTTGTCTCTGTTAATTATCACACCCCCCCCCCCCCCCCCCCCCCACCCCCCACCAACACAACCTTGGCGAGGAGTTCGGGGTCCGTCAAAAACTTTGGTATTTTGGAGGGCTAACGGTGCCATTTGATGCGGTTTAGAACTATGAATCAGTTTGGAAAAAAATCCAATTTCAAGAAGAGACCATTGGTGTGAATTTTTTCAGAATTCGAATGGGGGGGGGGCAGGACCCCTTTGACACCCCCTTAAATCCACCCCTATACGTAATCTCCTTAATTTCTGAGCAGGCTAATTAAAGTGCCTTTCAGGAGGTATTCTGCGTATCTACATATGTAAGTACTGACCTGGATCCTCGGGATCAGCTCCGGACTTGCTGGAACTGAGTCCGAAATAGCAATCAGGAGTCCCTCGTAACCATTGTTACTTAGAGTAACTTGTGCTCCTTCTCTTAGGCCGCATGTTACTGCCAGGGCAGTCAATAACAACGGGAAAATGAGATTCACGTCTTGAAGCATATTTTTAGTCTTACAAACTACTTTTAGACTTGCGCATCAAATGAAAAATGATTATGTTTCGAAACTTAAACAGGTATGGAACTCCCTAGCGTTCGAACAGAGGTTAAATCTCGACCAACATTGTGCAACGCGGTGTTGCGATTGGATTTTCGATCGTCTGCCTAACAAAGAAAAAATGTACATTGTAATAATAATAATAATGGCTCCCTGAATCACAGAAAACGGATCTGTTCAATACTCGGACGTTGTTTAACTTAATGATACAGGAAGATTAGTATTAAAATGAATGTTTTATTTTAATTATATACGAATGTCTACTTTTTCCGGATATAATATTGTTATTGTGCAAACTCACTATGACAAGGGGTTCCTATTACACCCAAAAATAATATGTTAAGGAAAGCGCGTTTAAAAAGTAATAAATCTTAAAGACATTTTATTAAATGACGTAAAAGTACCCCGGTATGTTGTTAACGTCATTCATCAAAACAATTCACCGTTTGTAAGAAAAAAAAACACTTTTTTATTATTCTTTATTTAAGAGTTCGACCTGATATTATGCATTACATAAAGCAGACAGATCTGTGGAAAAAGTGCGTGCGTGTGTGCATGTGTGCATTTTATTCATTACCGACAACATGCAAGTATTCAATCTTTGTTTTGCCACCTATGATTATGATTTTTGTGGGACTACATAACAAGGTCAATCCAGGCACTTATTGATTTTATGAGTAGAAAAAACGCATATATCCCATAACGTTTGTTGTTATAGTCAACAGCAACACTGCAATGTATTTTCTTCGATTGAACCTGTCCTGAATTTGGTTGCAAGCACCAAAACCGAAAGTGTTTACTTGCAAACTCCTTCAGCAGATTAAGGCAAAACAAACATTATATATAAAAATAAAATATCCATGTGCTTGACAATCGGTATCCATGCAAACAATAAATTATGCAAGCAACTTGATTTACTGCTAAATCGCAATCTCCAATCAATTGACTGGGAAACAATATTCCATTGCTACACTTTTCTTGGCTATAACCATGTTCATGTCAAATAAACAAACTTTCATAGTATTTTATGTAAGTCTGCATCTCTGTTTAAATGTCAAGTTACATGTTAATACACGCATTCACCATACTATTACAGGAAGGCAGGGCCATAGCAGCACAAATAATCAATACCTCCCATACTCTCAGTTCCCGTATGTTTGCAGAGTTGAAAGTGAAAGAGTTTTGGCTTTAAATTATCTGAAGAGCTACATGTGCTTTTCAGATTTCACTATCCACACACAGAAAAACACCTTTCTGGGGTAGCGCTAGCAATTTTTGTCGCTTAGCCAAATCACCACTTTTTTGTCAATTTGTTATCAAAATGGTTATAATTTGACTAAAACAAGTCAAATCAAGCCCTTTTTCTTTAACCAATTTAAGTAAGTTTTAGCATTTGGCTAAATTGGCGAGTGTTAGCGCTACCCCAGCGCTTTACAAAGGCTACAATTTACCGCAGTACCGGTTGACATTTGAGTGAGTGGATAGCTTGTTACTTGGCTGGGGATTAGATCGATGGTTTCTGTGTGGAAAGCTATGTAGGGTGTGGGTGGTATGTTTGAAGATGGATGGTCTGTGTGTGGTATGTTTGAGAACTGGATGTTGTGTGTGTATGTGTGTGTGTGTGTGTGCGCGCGCGTGTGTGTGTGTGGAAAACTGGTTTTATGTGGGTGATGTGATTGTGTTTGTGTCTGTGTGAGGTTTGCTCTTCATTTATGCTACTATAACTAGTGATTGGAACATTTGCTGAAAAGTGTCCGATGCCAGTGGCCTGATATGTGACCAAAAATAAAAAATAAATAAATAACACCATCTGAAAACAAATCACTTAGATTCAAAAGTGTAAGCAAACCTCGGTGGCGAAATGGACATGAATTATACGAAATAAGCTGACAAGAATAGTTTCAAAGTAAGTGGCTCCCTGAGTCACGTCTGTGACGCAAATATTCTGTTTGATATTTGCATAATTCGAACTAACCTTGTACCCTATTATTTTGCTTTTTTCTACTATTATGTTATCCAATACTGCAATGAATTATCATCCATTAAAGGTGATACAAAACAGTAAGAAATACTAGATACAATGTGTGCTTCACTGATGTCACTCACAGCTTCGCCGACTTCTGGAATTACCCATTAAATTGAGGCTTGGTGAATATATAGCAAACTTTAAAAAACAGGGACTAAATTTGAATTTAGAAATGGGTTCGTTAGCCATCGGTTAGTATGGGAAATTTGCTGTTTACTCCAGGAAAATTGATTTTTTAGCAAAAACGAACAGTTATTATCCCATTAACTGTCCATTACTGCCATTTGAATGGTAGCGGTTACCTTTCAAATACAATGTACATATACAATCTTTTTTTAGAAATGGTGTAAATGGTACTTTATATTCAAGCGTATATAAGTTCATGGGCGATTTAAATAGGTTTGAAAAATATTCCATGTGGATTGTCATCATTTCGGCAACAAATATAAGTTATCGTATCAAAAGGGAATGTACACGAAAACTCCAGTAAATAATTATAATGGAAATTCCTTTGCTTGTGAAGAATAACACATGCCTTTGAAGATGTAGTAGTCAAGTTTAGAATCAGGCTAAAACTTGTAGAGCCGTTGGATCTGTAGCCCAAATCTGAAAAAGAGCAATGCTTGTGTGTCTTGAATATGTCTTGCACTTAGCTTTATCTAATTTTATTTTATTTTATGCACAATTCAGGTCTACCTAACTACCAGACTCGGCACCGAATGATCCTAAATTCACCGGTAGATCAAACCACACTACCCGTTTTCAAGGTGTGAGTCAGTACGCATTACACAGTATCATACCCTGAACAAATTTGGTGATGCAATGCTTTTCAAGCCCGCTGAGAATCGTCACTCTCACATCGCGTACTAGGCAAGAGCGGTGTCGCGTCTGATTCTGTGAAATGCGTACTGATACACACCTTGAAAACGGGTAGTGTGGTCCGAATTACCGGTGAATTCAGGATCATTCGGTGCCGAGTCTTGTAGTTGGGTAGGCCTGCAATAATGTTTGCAGAAATGCCTTAATTAAGGTAATTGGTTAAGGTACTTTTGACCTTCCACTGAGTCAGTATGTGCTTGTCAAAAGTAACACCTGACATCACCGTGTCATTAACGATGTTTCTGTTTATGTACAGAGATAAAATGGTAGAGACCACTTTCGTTTAATATCCTTAAATGCAATTTAAAACTAGTAATTAGTCAGTGTAATTTCACGAAATCGCTCAGAAACACTTACATCCCACCCCAGCGCCTCCACATACTTTCCATCAGAAACACTGCAGATTTCACAGATGCTTCCATCAGCTTTGTAGTTAAAGGCTGTGCATGAAGGTCCGGAGAGGCAAGATAGTGAGCAGTCAGTTCGTGAGACATTGGGCACTTCTTCCGTGATGTTGACCAAGCGCGTGTTGGATAATTTCCGGAAGTAGGCGCTCCTGCTTCTAGCTGCGCGCGTAGTTCCTATACGCAAGGAAACTGAAAAAAAAAACTGTTGGATGCAAAATGCCCATGCTGGTAAAGAAAAGGTAGCAGGGGTACTTCTTGCTTGGCAGAAAAGCGTTGCTTCAATAAAACATAATGGGCAGTTAAATAATCTATGTTCGTTTCAATGTAACGAATTAGAGCCTACAGGTAAGTCGCTTTATGTGTCCTTTCTCCCTTTTTGCAAGTTGAGGCTTGAATCTATCTAGACAGAAGTGACGATCACATGGACAATGGATATCCGGAGAGGAAAATTGACACTGCAAGGTCGATAATTTCACGACGAACTTTGAATAAACCCTCTCTAAATATCTTACTGAATATTGCATTGATAACTATTACAAGAATGTAACAAGGTCACTTTGCAGCACACTAGTACACAGTTATTTATGCCTACTTACCAAGAACACAAAGGGCTACCAGCCAGAGCATTTCCCACTTCATTGCTGTGACTATAGTTTTACTTGTGTCCAAAAGTCAGCTTCCTCACTTTCATAGAAATGTTGCCTTGCTGACGTGAGCTAAAGGTTAATAAATTCAACAACAGCGAACACAATAACGCCTGTTTCTATGAAACAATTGGCGCCATTAACGACAGAACAAACAATCTCATTAATCACAGAAAACTATCTGGACTTTGTTTTATTTACACGATCAACGGTTCAGAAAAAAACTCATGACTTACGTTTAGCATTACGATTGTCATGAAGAAGTTGCTAAGGACGTTAACCATAGGCCTAAAGCTTGTCCTTAGTATTCATTAGTATCCTTTATTTCTGCAGATGGCATCAATCAAATAAATAGACGATAAATTTGCAGAAATTACTTATAGATATGCACTTAATAAAATTATATATGATCAAACCACTAACCGACTGACAAGCGTAATAAATAAAGGTATAATTAATGTAACATTGTGGCTGTATGTTAACTACATGCCATTGTTTCACTTAATTAATTCACACCACAGAATATTATGGCTGAAGATCAATTCCACTAAACGCAACCAGGGCTTGGTAGTATTACAGTGACAACGTCCACCAAGACGTTTACATGCTGTCTCCTACTTTCCATTTAAATATTATGGTCTCCATCGTCGTTTGACTTTGGATGCCATCTAAAACTCTCCCATTCTACAATCTGATATTCCATATTTCTTTATTAGGCAAGTGTTAGTTCACATCTCCTAAAGTTAATTAACTAAATTATCATCTTCATTAGGTCATGTTTTAGTGTTCACTTGTATTTCATGTTATGGAAAATTACAAATGAATTTTATTTGATTAAAATAGACCCAAAGCTCATACATGGCGTTGACATTTCCACTCTTACCTATACGAAAACTATCTTAATCAAAATTATTATTATAATTATTTTGTGTTGATCATTGATGCTATATGCAGGTTTCCTTATAAATGTGAGGTCATTATTTTTAAGAATACCTATCGACACATTTCTGGTATGGAAAATAATTACATACCGTTGGACAATAACATACTTCTGCCTAAGTGCTTGCTATCATTAGCCCAATACAGGTTGTCATGGAAGGTAAACACACAAGCAACAAGGGGTCAGTAAGTCGGCTGGGCCTGATATGGATATAAAAAAGCTCCCCTGTCCTACTTAGGTAGTAGACGGGTCCCACTGAATATATATCTGTATTAGTATATGGGTTCATCTTATTTTCACAATGCAGCTCATATATTTGGTCATAGATTTGTGGCTGATGTGTTCGTGTCAACTGACGTCAAGCTCTGCGGCATTTTCTTGCCCTGACCGTTACGTATCTGTAGGATCATATTGTATGTACTACGATGGGAGCTACCTCTCATGGAACGATGCCCGTCACAGGTGTATGAGTGACGGGGCTCACTTGCCTGTGATCGATACTGTGACCAAAAGAGATTTATTCATCAATTTTCTTAAAAGATATGGAAGTAAGTGACTTTTATATATTGTTTCAGTGTGTTATACATTGTACAAGTATAAACCAGTAAGGTCCTAGGAACAGTTTTTCTGCTATTGGGCTTGTTCTTTACACACACACACACATACACACTTACACACACGCCAGCGCGTGATCATTCACGCACACATGCATACTAGACAGTGGGAAGCTCAAAAATCTGTTAAAATTGGTTATAGTCAGTTTTAAACCGCTGGGATGATGATGGATGAAATGTTCTGTTGTAATGACAGTATGATATCAATTTAATAAACGTTGTGTAATTGTCTTTCTGGAGGTCCGGCAGTTTGGTTGGATGGTAAGGACACCAATGGAAAAAATAACTGGATATGGTACTCGACCGGTGTCAGCATTGCCAGCTATATGTGGAAAAGTGGTCAACCAAACAACTATAACAATGTTCAGGAAGATCGTGCAATGTTATTTCACAAAGGCGTCGCTGTGAGTGATTACCCATGCGACCTCTCTTTGTATCTTGCATGTGAATATGACCCAGGTAAGTATTGTTATGTGCCGCATACTTAATAAGTGTGGGGAAGTCTTATCTGCACTTCTTTGCTAGTCTTAGGATGAAGTGGGTTAAAATGTCTCCGTCTTTGCAGCACCCACCATCCTTCGCATCAAGGAAGAAAAGATGAAATAACTATGCATTTTGCTGTACTTTTCGTAACTTGAAAGAACACTTATATGTTTTTTTTTTTTTTTTTTTTTTTGGGGGGGGGAGGGGTTAAGGTGCGTGACAAAGCAAATGGTTATTGACCGCATGTCATAGTAAAACAAAGTTTACAGCTCAAATTGGTTGTGACATGCAATTGCGCATCATTTGTATTAATTTTTTAATGAAAAAACTCACTTTCAGTAAATGGAGTTTGGGGAGCCTGGGGATCATGGGGATCATGCAGTGTTACGTGCGGTTCTCAAGGTCTGAGGTCACGTACTCGTGTATGTGATAATCCAGCACCTGTTGGTGCCGGTAAACCCTGCCCTGGAGCTGACAGACAAACTGAGTTATGCTTCCCAGGACAGTGCCCTGGTGAGTGACTTGACTGCTATATCTAATCTGTATTATTTTGTTTGACAGAATCAGTGTGTTATTTAGGTCTCAATCATACACCAAAACTAGGTCACCTTAAAGACATACATGTAAATGATAACACGACTCACGCAGACACGCCAGCTCCCCAAACCGTGACCTTGGGAGTACATTGCTGTATGCCAGAATCATTCAATGATAATATACTATTCACTATCTCTTCATCAAATACAAAATTGTTTTATTTAAAATAAAATGAAAATTTTCAATTTGTAATAGTGTTCGTTTTTTGACATTCACGTTACAAAATAACATTTGTTTAAACCGTGCAGGTAAACATACACAACGGTAAACGGTGTTTTTACTAAATTATCTTTTGGTGTGACATTTACATGACCTATATTTCCTTTATACATGTATGAGAAATTTTTACCCATCTTGTTTTACATTTGGTACACAGGTACCTTACAAACTGATATATACATGTATATATACCGTACATTTTACATTGATCAATTTCCCTTTGTCGTGACATTCGCGGTTTACAGGTACGTGGCTTTCTTTTCCTTAATTTTTCATGGAACTGCATGGACAACAGAAGCATATATCACTTTGCTTCCATTATAGTGGACGGAGCCTGGAGTGTCTGGACACACTGGTCAACATGCAGTAAAACCTGTGGTCAGGGCAACAGGACAAGACACAGGGCGTGTAATAGTCCACCTCCGACCAATGGTGGCAAGGACTGCCGAGGACAATTAGTTCAGGTCGAAACTTGCAAGGGTCAGCCGTGTCAAGGTATGTGTCCATTTTTTTTTTTTTTTTTTTTTTTTTTTTTTATATATATATAGAAAACTATTAAGCAAGTCAGCTTTATTTGTCAGAATTACATGTAGATTACAATTTGGCTATATATATACGATTTGAAATATATGTCAAAGGCCCCAATCCAGATTTTATACAGATTATAGGAAAAATTCTGCCCATTAATATTTTGTTGATCTTTTGGGAAATGTCTGCATTTTCTGAAAGATATATTTCAGACCTTATTAGTATTAGTATTAGTATCCTAATGAATCGACTTTATCAGTGTTCAAACCTGGCATAGATTATGATGTAAATAAAAATATTATATTATAATTTTACGGAGTTTTTTTTTTATAGCTGTGCCTGCAAATAGAGCAAAGTTTTGCTATAAATTCGCACTTTTCTTTGTAATCTATCTTTCAGAAAATGCAGACATTTTCCCAAAAGATCAACAAAACATTAATGGGCAGAATTTTTCCTATAATCTGTATAAAATCTGGATAATCAAAATAACACACTAACAAATGGAGCCCATCTTTAATTTAACATATCTTTAGTAAATGTTACTAAATCAATCTACAGATCTTTTCTTTAAACATTAAACATATTTTAAAGTATCATCCTCAGATGTATTTTACAAATCACAGGTAATGAAATACAACTATGTCTCATTTGTTAGTACCTGTAAGTATCATAATAAATATTATCTGCCTCGATCTGAGACATCCCCTGCACACGCCAAACAAACAAACTGGCAGCTTGGCCAATTAACTTGGTCAATTAACTTGCCCATTATGCTGTTAACAATGCAGAGACACCTTAAAGAATGGGCCCAGCCAGGGTGTAATCAACAGGGGGTCTAGGCTTTATATGCATAGGACTAGATTTGATTGGGGCCTTTGACATATACATGACGTCAACCGTAAAACGTAAACTAGGTGTTTTGTGTTTTTTTGCTTTGTGTTTATTCGCTATATAAGGCCGCATTCCCATAGACATCATCGGTATATATATCGTACATTGTACATTGATGAATTTCCCTTTATTGTGACACTCGCGGTTTACGTGGCTTTCCTTTTCCTTAATTGTTCATGGAACTGCATGGACAACAGAACCATATATCACTTTGCTTCCATTACAGTGGACGGAGCCTGGAGTGTCTGGACACACTGGTCAACATGCAGTAAAACCTGTGGTCAGGGCAACAGGACAAGACACAGGGCGTGTAATAGTCCACCTCCATCCAATGGTGGCAAGGACTGTCCGGGACAATTAGTTGAGGTTGAAACATGCAAAGGTCAGCCTTGTCCAGGTATGTGTACAGTGTTTGTATTTTGATATACAGAAAATTACTTAAGCAAGTCAGCTTTATTTTTCAGAATTACATGTGGATTGCAATTTGGTTATATATGATTCGAAATATACAATACGTCAACTGTAAAATGAAAACTAGGGTGTTTTATGTATTTTGTTTTGTGTCCTTTCTGTTCTGTTTTCATTTTCTGATCATTTTAACCGTTTACAGCCAAACTCTGTCCTGATGGGTTCACTGAGGTCACTGACAGCTTGTGTCTGTACATCTCCGACCCAAAGACAGAGGTATACAATTATTTCCTGTCCATGAAGGCGTGTACCTCGCTGTCTCCACTGTCTCACCTGATGACAGTAAAGAACAGATACGAATACCAGAACATCGTCAGGTTCTTGTCTGCAGCTGCAGCATATTGGATAGGTAAATATTATTTACACAGTGAGGAATATGTAATGCCACATTCCCATACACATCATCGGTCAACGTAGATCGATCCAACTCTGCGGGGACTCTCGCTAAGTGCAATCAGCTTAAATGAACGACACGCATCCTGTTGTTCCAAACTACTCGCTCAATCACCAGATTTTCTTTCTTTTTTCTTTCTTTAATCTGTTAAGCTGGCTGCACTCAGGGACATTTGGATCGACCTACGTAAGGCCGATTGTGTCTATGGAAATGGGACCTAAGAGTGCCAACGTATAAACGAATTGATAAAATTAAAAGCCTGTCAAAATAATCAACATACAGATATTTTTTATTATAATAATAATAATATATTATATGACAAATATTAGTACTGCACCTCTGTTTTAAACTATATGCTCATGCGCACGTTATCCCGTCATCAGTTAGCTCAATGAACTTATTCTATGATAATTTAATATTAAAATAACAATCCTTAGTGAGACGTACAATATAAAGCCAATATTATTGTCCTACCAGGTGATGATAGTGCAAGTACCAGCAATTCTTTGAACAATGGCGGCACCAAGCTGGGTGGTGGCGGTGGTGGTTACACCATCTGGGCAGCTGGATATCCGTCCGCGCGCTCCCTTACCGATTGCATCGAATTAAGCGGGAAGAGTGGAGCGTTTCTGTGGAAAGGCGCCCCCTGCTGGGAAACTAGACCGTTCATTTGTGCACTTCGACCCAAAGATTCAGTTGCACCTTTAGTTGGTTAAATGGCAAAAGTGTCAACAATTTTTTTTTTTTTTTGCTAAAATAAAATAAGATTTGCGATTGTAAGAAAAGAGTTTATATAGCCAATTATAAAATTCGGAAATCATTTTCCTTTTGGAGCAAGTTTGATCATATACGGAATACAGTAATACAATAGAAGAATTGAGACTTTTGTTTAGAGATCAAATTAAAATGTGTCACTGCACTCGGATGGAAGCTGTTTAAAAAGCTTTTACTGCCTTTAAAAGTTAGGAGTTTATTACTGCTTGTTAAAAACATAAAATGTGATGATGCTGGGTGAGAAGAGTCTTCCATGATGTTAACAGTTTTTTTCTCCATTCTGTCATTAATGGCTCATCATCAATCGCTTTGTTAAAAATACCTTTTTTTAAAACAAAACAACAACTGCCAAAATTGGAAACATGTCTTTGTTGTATATTTACTCTCGCTTTTTTCTCCCAATGCTCGCCGCTACTGTTGAAGTATTACATGTAAACATGTTAAGATACTTGCTTTGACGACATGAAAAGTTATCTTTAATTTGCCTTTCTATGTCATTTTTAAACGTATCTATTAGTTCATGCCAGTTATTAACAGGTCCCTGTCTACGCCATAAAGACGTGCGACGTGCATCAATAATAGTCCGGTGGCTTAAGAAAAAAATCGTGACACGGCGGATAAAAGCACCAAATTTTGCATGTGGGTACCTTTTGACATTCTAAATCAAATTAGAGCCGTAGCCCACGGAAAAAAATTACCGTTTGGCCAAAAAAATCCAAAATGGCCGCCAATTTATTGAATTCTTTAGAAATATGTACATACCTATGTTGATTTTTATCAAATAAATTATTTTCTCAGAGGTTTCCACACCCTTATTACCCATTTCATTCATATATATGTCAGATAGCAAACAAGTTCCCTTGGACTTTTTGAAAAATCCAAGATGGCTGTCATTTGCCATAGAAACAGCCATAGGAATACTAGTACACAACTATTTCCAGCTAGAACGATACGTTGTCCACTATCAAATTAAGTCTGTTTCTCAGATCTTTGTTACCCACATAATATGTTTGTGGTGAGTAACTACGAAGTGATCTTGGGCATTTTGGAAAATCCAAGATGGCGGCCATTTGCCACAGGAATTCTAGTATACGGGTGATTCAACTAAGGGCAACTGGTAAGATTAGTTTTTCACTATCAAATTAAGCTGGTTTCTGAGTGTTTTCCACATCCTTTCTACCCACACAATATGTATGTGGTGAGTCACTAACAGTATTCTTGGGCATTTTGAGAAAATCCAAGATGGCCGTCATATATAATAGGAATACTTCTAGTATTACAAAGGGTTGGAACTAATGCCAGATAATTCACTATCAAATTCAGTTTATTTTTTTTTTTAGTGTTTTACACATTATTATTACACTGTGATACATATCTAGCAGGTAATAAATGTGCATATTTGATCATTTTGAGAAAACCCAAGATGGCCGTCACTGGCCATAGGAATACTACTGGAATTACAACTGCACATCCATGGCTTTTCATCTACTACCAGGGTGAATTTGTGTTTGCTTATCAAGTTTTGCCCATCCTTATTAGTCCTATGATATATATCTGGTGGGTAAATAGTGTGCATCCTTGGATATTCTGAGAAAAAGATACCTACAATTTAACATAGGAGTACTAATGGGTGGGTTTTAATTGCTGCTAGAGAGGCATATGGTTCATTATACAATTACATTTCCATGGGTTTGTTTTAAAAATAATTTATGTTTTTCATTCCATTTATTATTACCCCTATGATGTATACCTGGTCTGTAGCATGTGTGTATCTTTGGGTATTCTGAAAAAATTCAAGATGTCTGCCTTTTGTCATCAGAATATTCGAACACATAATCAAATAATGCTAGAGATACACTGAGTACGATTTAAATGTAGTGAACTTTGGGTCCTATTTATCCTTATGAAAGACTCTGTGTGTTTTGAAAGTGTATGTATCCTTGAGTATTATTCGGAGAAAACCCAAGATAGCTACCAGTTGTCATAGGAATATATCATTCAAATGCACATAGGTGTCAATTAACAGTTCAGACATTGATTCCAACATAAAATAAAGCCGTTTGATGTTTAAACATGTTGACATCCTTATTAACCTTTCTCTTTATAAATCTGGTGTGTAGCAAGTGTGCATCTTGCGTATTTGAGAAAATTCAAGATTGCTGCAATTCACAATAGGAATAGTACAGTCAACTACTGCCAGAGAAACATTGGGTTCAATATAAAATGAATTTTTTTTCTCGGTATTTCCCACTTTCTTTTTGGACTTTTAGATATCTATCTGGTGGGTAACAAGTGTATACCCTTAAGTATTTTGAAAAAAATATCATGATTACCCTCATTTGCCTTAGAAGTGCCTATAAAATCTAATGCACCAGTTTCCCTATGGGGAAAAGAAGGCCATCTTGGATTCCCCCAAAATGATAAAATATGGACATTAATTACCTAACAGATATGTATCATGGGATAATAATAATACTAAAAAAACAGAATAACATCTGAATTCAGCTTCATTTTATTTGTAAGCCTATCTCTCGCAGGTATTAACTGAACCCCACCTTCTATGGCTAATGGCAGCCAATCTGTTTTGTTTTGTTTTCAAAAAGGCTACACATAACATTCTCATCACATATGTTTTATGTTAATTAATAAGATGTGGAAAATACTCAGAAACAAACCTAATTTATCAATTAATATTATATCTCCATGGCAGAAGAAGCCCTATGTGTATGCTAGTATTCCTTTGATATGGGGGCCATCTTGGATTTTTCTCGAATTGCCTGTGAATAAAGGTTATAGTTACTCACCACAAATATATTATTTGTGTAATAAGAAACAAAATTTATTAGATAGTGGGCAATGCATCTTCCTAGTTGGCATTAGTTAGTTGAAAACCCTTGTACATGTTCTAGTATTCCTATGCCATACGGCGGCCATCTTGGATTTTTCAATACGTCCAAGGACACTAGTTTGTTATCTGACACATATGCATAATATGGGTAATAAGGATGTGGAAAACATTGAGAAAATACTTAATTTGATAAAAATCAACATAGATATGTATATATTTCTTCAAAATTTCACAAATTGGCGGCCATTTTGGATTTTTTGGCAAACGGTAAATTTTTTCCGTGGGCTACGGCTCTAATTTGATTAAGTATGTCAAAAGGTACCTACATGCAAAATTTGGTGCTTTTATCCGCTGTGTCACGATTTGGCCATTTTTTTGCCCTAAGCAACCGGACTTTAATGCTGCTATTGATTCCATTTTCATATTAATGCGCGCATGACAATTATTGTTTTAAATTGGAATTGAAAAATGTTAACAACTCGTTTGGCAATAATATTCCTCCCTTAATGCTCGTTATCATTAGTCTGAGATAGGTTTGTTTAAAATCTTATGACACTCAGTATAAAGTAAATAACCGAGTTACAAAGATCAGACAGACAGTCGGCTGGGTCAGATATGGATATAAAAAGCTCCCTTGCCCTAAATTAGACAGTAGACCTCCCACTGAATGTAGCTCTCTGCACCAGTATATGGTTTCTGTTATTTTCTCAATGAAGCACTTAACTTTGGTCATATCCCTGGGACTGTTTTTTGCATGCAGTCTGATATCAAGTTTCGCGGCGTTTACTTGTCCTAGCCGTTACGAACCTGTAGGATCATACTGTATGCGCATTGACAAGAGCGCCCTAACATGGGAAGATTCCCGCCGCAAGTGTTTGAGTGAAGGAGCCCATTTGGCCGTAATAGATACTGTGCCGAAAAGAGACTTATTCATCGGTTATCTTAAAAGAAATGGAGGTAAAAAGAAAATAGATTACATTTGTCACTGGTGCCGCACAATGAACTTGTATACGATTTTATGTAGGTTTTTTTTTAATAGTAAGTGGCTACAAGCTGTGGCAAGTACGCTTGCATTAAGCCTCGGTCATAGCCGGACGCACGAATTTCCAGATCGTACGTCCCCTGCGATTTTTGGGTATTGCGGAGGCCGTGGAGGTCGTAAAGGTAAAGTCTGCCTTGCGAGTCGCAAAGGCCACATGAGATGTCCTTTCAAGCAGGGACGCTAATTGCAAGGAGCGATGTCAGTGGAAATTGTACTCATTTCTCGAGTTTGTCTTTTTTCCTGTGTACGTGGCACACACTCACCACTGCAACGCACGACGAAAGTAGTGCCCTTTTGCGTCAGTTTTGCTTCACACTTGCCTCACACGGCGTACGTCAGTTTTGCTTCTTGTTCTCCTCTTTTTTCTTCTTCCTCCTCCCTTTTTTTACTATGTAAGCTTCTTTCTCTTGCCGTTTGGAGGCATATTAGAAACTCAATTGAGAAAAATTGAACATTTTGAAAATTCTTGTACACGTTACACAGTCAACGTTCATTGTAAGGACACGAGCGTGCGTCGTGAGCACGCCTTTTATACAGCAGGCGTGGGGGTGACGCACGTGCGAGGCATTTCCGGTGTGCTCTCGACTTTGTTCGTTAGTTGTGAGGGCGTGCGCCTTCATTGCTTCATTGCTTGCACAACGCGTGTCTCTATTGCTAACTCCGTTCGAGGGGAGCAAGTTACAATTGCGACCTTGCTGTTCGCAGGCTATTCGTAGAATCTTTTGTCCAACATCTTCCGTACCTGCTTACGGGCGGTCTGCGAACTCCAAATTTCGCAAGAAGGACTTGCGTGGGACGTGAGATTTGGACGCAAACAGCCCGTAAGAGCCCGTACGACCGGATGTGACCGATGCTTTAAGTGTGGGTGATGTACGTTTTTTTCCACATACGGGAAATCGGTAGGTCCATTTGAAGTGATCGTACCGAACCCTTCTAGACTCGATCCCTTTTGGCTACTTTGCAGATCGATACATTATTTTTCCAACCCCCTACGATTTCAGAGAAGGTGGAAAGGGAAGAGTTCAAGAACATTTTNATATATATATATATATATATATATATATATATATATATATATATATATATATATATATATGTGTGTGTGTGTGTGTGTGTGTGTGTGTGTGTGCGTGTTTGTGTGTGTGTATGTGTGTGTATGAGTGCATTTCTATTGTAACCCTATAAGATATTACATGTGCTTTACATGATAAGAAGACAATGGTTTAACACATATTGCGTCTAGTATGCGTGTACAGTGTGCATATCTAACGCAAAGTATGCCACATGAAATACACTTTTATGAAGTAATAATTCGATTTGGAGAGGCAAAGTCATATTTTCGTTAAAGTTAAGCAACTTTGTTGTTTGCAAGTCTTCGGAAGATTAACCCTCATGTTCAACCTTATCCTGTTTTTTTAGGTTCTGTTGCTAAGACAACTGGTGGGAACAGCAATGGTGCTCCGTGTGTCTTACCTTTTAATTTTAAGGGTACAGTATACACGATTTGCACCAGCCGTGCACATGACAAACCATGGTGTGCTACAACTTCTAACTATGAAACAGATCGCAAATGGGGAGTTTGTGTAGGTAATCCCATTGTAGGAAGTGCCCAATGGCCGTCCGTTATTACTTACATAATATTTATTGTATACATAATGCAGTATACGTGTACTTCCCTATTGCAGTGCGTATACACACAATGTACAATAGAAATGTCACCCCTACTGAACCAATACTTTGGGGGAGTGGCATGATCCTCCTGGTATCATTTTATTAACATCAAATTTCACAAAAATGTAGACCATGCATTATAACTGCTCACGATCTGTCTACTTTGATTATTGATTACTTAATTATTATTTGATTACTCTGATTCAGGGTGTGATACTTCATTTGTCCATTGTGTTTATATATGGAGGCTCCTTCATATGTCTGACACACCATTTCTGCCCTAATGGGTTTGAAAGAAATTGTAAGACAATGTTTGCTCACCGCGTGTGTAAAAATCTGAAAAAAATGGGGATTATCAAGTTAGTTTTTTGTAGAGTTAGCGTTCCGAAACATCATATTTATTACTTTGATTTATATGGGAATTTTGCCAAATTATTTAAGGCAAGGATGCTTTTATATAGGAATGAATTGGAAGCGTTGCGTAAAATTTAGATAAAAAAAGTATAAAGGATTTTATAAAATGTACACCTGTTTCGAAAATTACACGTATACTTCTTTGCATCAGTTAGCCAAATTCAATGTAGATGCACATCCAATTCAAAAGAAATAGATATAAATGTTGAAAGTATTGTATTTATTCAAATGTCTCTTGAAATGCCGTCATCTTGGATTTTCCATAGATTGGGTAGATTGCCCACAATTTGCCATGTGATTTGATATTCTATATCGTTTATTTTCTTACACATGCGGACATAAATGGATGAAATACATATTTTATTGCCTGTTTTAATTTAGTTAATATCGTAAAAAAACTACTCATGCGCGAAATCTGCACAGATTGAAAAAAAAAAATAATTTGAGGGAACTCCTTTAATACTACGCAGTCCCGGTACGCACCGGAATATTTAATCATAAATGCTGACGACATCAACGTTGTTAAGTAATCATTAGTTTTGATCAATGAAATAACAATGTTTTGTTCTAATTATACAGATACCCTGTCTGAGTTTCAGTATTAAATGGTATTCATTTATTAAAAGTTATCAGTTTCTAATCGTCTTTTTGGAGGTCCTGAAGTTTGGTTGGGTGGTAAGGACACCAATGGAAAGAATAACTGGATATGGTATTCGAGGGGTGTCAGCGTTGCCAGTTATCTATGGGCTAGTGGTCAACCGGAAAACATACGAAACTCTGTGGAAGAAGATTGTATACTGTTACAGGTTTGGAGAACCCACGGTTTTCACGATTTCCCCTGTAGCCTCAAGTTTAATTTTGTATGTGAATATGACCCAGGTAAGTCTTGTTGTGTGTTGTGTACTTTACAATGGTGGAGGTCTTATCTGCTTGTCTCACAGGATAAGGGGGGCGGTCAAAATATCCCCACCTTTGCAGCACCCCCTCCCTCGCGTCAAGGAAGAAAATATGAAATAACGATGCATTTTGATGTACTTTTCGTAACTTGTAAGAACACTGGTATGGGCCTCATCAAATAAATGTTTTCCCTCTGTTGTTAACGCCGTTGTTCCTTTTTCTTTCTTTCTTTCTTTCTTTCTTTCTTTCTTTTTTTTGTGGGGGGTTTGTGGTGGGTGACAAAGCAAATGGTGATAGCCACATGTCAAAGTAAAATATTTCAATGTTAAACAAGATAAGGTTAGAGCTCAAATTGGTTGTAACATGCTACTGCGCATCATTTGTATTAAAACTCTAAAAATGATAAAAACACAATCACAAAACGGGACCTTGGGATGGTGGAGATATCAAACACATGTTCTGTAACGTTTCAGCTTATTGAAGCTTATTTATTTGCAGATGGGAATTGGGGTATCTGGGGATCATGGAGTTCGTGTTCCTTGTCCTGCGGTCAAGGTCTGAGGTCTCGTACTCGTTTATGTGTGTACCCAGTACCTGCTGGCACCGGTAAACCCTGCCCCGGGGCTGACAGACAAACTGAATTTTGCTTCCCAGGACAGTGCCCGGGTGAGTGACTTGACAGCTATATCTTATCTGTATAATTTTGTTTAACACAATCAGTGTGTTATTTAGGCCTCAGAAATACACCCAAACTAGGTCACCTTAAAGACATAAATGATAAAGCAATTCACGCAGACACGCCAGCTACCCAAAATGTGGCCTTGGAAGTACATTGCTGTATGCCAGAATCAATCAATGATAATATAATATTCACCATCTCCTCATCGAAAACAATTTATTTAGAATCAAATGTAAAATTTTCAATTTGTAATAGTGTTCGCTGTTGACATCCACATTACAAAACATATAGTTAGCCAGTAGCGCTCGCGGTTTAGATGACTTCTCTTTTTCTTTAGTTTTATTTATTTATTTAATTATTATTATTATTTTTTTTTCTTTTTTTGATGGAACTGCTTGGACAGCAGAACCATATACATGTATATCGTTCTGCTTCCTATTACAGTGGATGGAGCCTGGAGTGTCTGGACACACTGGTCAACGTGCAGCAAAACTTGTGATCAAGGCAACAAGACAAGACACAGGGCGTGTAATAGTCCACCTCCATCCAATGGTGGCAAGGGTTGCCCAGGGCAATTAGTTCAGGTTGAAACCTGCAACGGACAGCCGTGTCCAGGTATGTGTACAGGGTTGGTATTTTGATATAATGAGAACCACTTATGCAAGTTCAAAATATACATGACGTAAATCGTGAAACGTAAACTAGGTTTTTATTTATTTATTTTTTTTTATATTTATTTATTTATTTGTTTTTTTTTTTTTTTTGCATTTTGTTTTGTGTTCTTTCTAGTATGTTGTCATTATCTAATCATTTTAACCGTTTACAGCCAAACTCTGTCCTGATGGGTTCACTGAGGTCACCGACAGCTTGTGTCTGTACATCTCCGACCCAAAGACAGAGGCATACAATTATTTTCTGTCCATGAAGGCGTGTTCCTCGCTGTCTCCGCTGTCTCACCTGTTGACAGTTAAGAACAGATACGAATACCAGAACGTCGTCAGGTTCTTGTCTGCAACTGCCGAATATTGGATAGGTAAATAGTATTTACACAATGAGGAATATGTAAGGCCGCATTCCCATACACACCATTGGTCAACGTAGATCGTTCCAACTCTGCGGGGACTCTCGCTAAATGCAATCAGCTTAACTGAACGACACGCATCCTGTTGTTCCAACGTACTCGCTCAATCACCAGAATTTCTTTCTTCTGCATAAAATTAAGAGAGTATGTGTTAATCTGTTAAGCTGGCTGCACTCAGGGACATTTGGATCGATCTACGTAAGACCGATTGTGTCTATGGAAATGGGGCCTAAGTGTGCCAACGAATAAACGAATTGATAAAATTAAAAGCCTGTCAAAAAAGTCAACATACGGATGTTTTTATAATATACAGGGTTACCACTTAATATGGAATATTATTTTTTGTCGAGAAAATGTTCTACAAAANTATATATATATATATATATATATATATATATATATATATATATATATATATATATATATATATATAATATGACAAATATTATTACTGCACCTCTGTTTTAACCTATATATTATGCGTACGTTAATCCCGTCATCAGTGAGATCAATTAACTTATCCTATGGTAATTTAATATTAAAATAACATTCCTTAGTAAGACTGGCAATATAAAGCCACTGTCATTGTCGTACCAGGTGATGACAGTGCAAGTAGCAGCAATTCTTTGAACAATGGCGGCACCAAGCTGGGTGGTGGCGGTGGTGGTTACACCATCTGGGCATTCGGATATCCGTCCGCGCGCTCCCCTACCGATTGCGTCGAATTAAGCGGGAAGAGTGGAGCGTTTCTGTGGAAAGGAGCCCCCTGCTGGGAAACTAGACCGTTCATTTGCGCACTTCGACCCAAAGATTCAATGGCACCTATTGTGGGTTAAATGACAAAAGTGTTAACGTTTTAATGGCTCATCGCCAGTTTCCTTGTTTAAAAATATTTTCTTAAAAGAAGAACAATCAAAACAAACATTGGAAACATGCCCTTGTTGCACATTTAAGTTTGCTCTCTCTCTCTCTCTCTCTCTCTTTCTCTCCCAATGGTTTGCCTCTACCGTTTAAGTATTATATGTATACATGTTAAGAGGCTCGAGCGCTTTGAGTAGTTATCTTTAATTTACCTTCGATGTCAATAAATGTTTCATTCTAAGTGCATAAGTGTATTATTGAACGTTTTACTCATTATGCAGTATATTTTTAAGTCGCGTTATGCGTGCGTGCACGTGTATGCGTTTCACCCATGTATGGTAAAGAGTTGAAATAGTGATGTGTGCGGCCGTTTGAGAAATGTTTGTTTTCAATCGACGAGGCTTATGTTATCATGAAGCAGTTTATTTGATCTAAAATGGAACACACCAATGTCTAATGTCTAATTTGCAGTTGGATGATAGGGATAGTAAGACTACATATTTTGGCACTGCTGATACGGTAGACATACACTTCATTTTTCTATGTTAAGCACAACGCATTGCTTACAGTAATCACGTGTCTGAAGGTGTCCTTAATGTACACACCTCCCCCTCTACACAATAAAAAATTAATCTATTGGAAGATGAATTAAAAGAACTTGAAATCCACTTTGTTGAATGTGAGGAATTTATCAAGCCTGAAGGCAAATTTAGACTGCCCTAATATAAATTCTAAACATGTTCACAACGTAACGGAGAAACTGTGGATCAGTTTTTGAAAAGAATTGATTCTATGATTAGCAGGGGCATATTTACCCCACCTAATGAACACATACTAGACACTGTCATATTTGGATGCAAAGCGACTTGAGCACAGTCGAATATACTCGAGTTGGGCGAAAATCTGCTGAAAATCGACAATGCAATCGACATTGCCAAAACACAAGAAGCAACTCAAAGACATAAGTCGAGACACGCAGGTTCATGCGGTCAAACAAACGAAACATTCCGCTCTAAACCTGCATTTGATGGGCCACATATGAAGAAAGAGACATATACGGTGGCCCTTAAGTGTCCACTTAACGCAACCAGGGCTTGGTGGTATTACAGTGACGACTTCCACGAAGAAGTTTACTTGCTGCCGCTTACTTTCCATTTCAATACTAGAAAAGCACTCCGAGAGCGCAGACCTCCGCCAAGGCAGCGATTTTTGATTGATCATTGATCCGGATCATTACCAAAAACTAATCACTTCTAAGATAATTCATTTTCCACCTACCCTGAAAACTTCAACAAAATCGGTCTATAACTTTTTGAGTTATGTTGATGACAAACAGACAGACAGACAAACACACAGGGGTGAAAACATAACCCCCTTGGTGGAGGTAATTATGGTCTTTGACTTTGGATGCGATCTAAAATTCTCTGATATTCCATATTTCTTTACTAGGCAAGTGTTAGTTCACATCTCCTTAAACTAATTACTTAAATTATCATCTTCATTGGGTCATGTTTTAGTGATCACTTGCATTTCATGTTATGGAAAATTACAAATGAATTTTATTTCATTAAAAAAAAAGACCCAAAGCTTATACATGACGCTGTCATTTTCATTCTTACCTAATACGAAAACAATTGTTTCATTCTTAATTTAGAAAAGTAAACCTGGTTTAAATATCAAGACCAAGTCCGAGTATCAACAGATCGCCAAACTGCTGATAGCGGTTGCCCAATACTGGATAGGCAAATATCATGGGATTATTTTCACCCCTTGAAAAAAAGATATGTCGGGGAAAAAAACACTCTTTGAGGGATTTCGTCTTTCAAGACCACTTACGGATGGAGTTATGTAGTAAATAATGAAAACTGTAGTAAATAATGAAAACTGTAGTAAATAATGAAAACTGTTCACGAGCCCGATATACACGATAGCATGCCTCGCTGGCGCTCGGCATGCTATTGTGTATATCGGGCGAGGGGGTAACAGTGCATTATATGTCATACATATAAAGGGAAATCGTGCATGTTCCCCACCCAAACCCCCCTAACTTTGAATAGAACACGCTGATATCACCGCGCATGGGGTGATATCAAAGAATGGACTTTCCCTGCGCTTACGCCGATAATTTCTGTGTAATTGTGGTCACCGTCCAATTATTTACATTTGTGTGAATGGTTTGTGGTTGCGTGTGCTTCCGCAGAGATATGGGTAAGTGGCTTTTGTGTGAGTATAGTTGGCTGCCCATCTCCCACACGTGGCAGTTTCCTGTCCATTTCCCGCACATAGCAGTCACCCTCATTCATTTTTCGGCAAAGCTGACAGCGACATTGTAGAAATGATGTTTTCTGATGTATCGGACGACGAACTCGTGGGCGCAAGTCAAACTCAGAGAAATCTCATTATGAAACTGTTCAACAATTTTCTGATATCTCGGACGACGAACTCATAAGCGCAAGTCAAAAGGCAGAAATGTTGTTACGCCTTCGCGGCCGAGTGCCTTATGAAGGTACAACTAACAATGTACTTACTGGTGTCTCAGAGTAAATAACAGAAACAGCATATAAGATTATCAAAGCCTCCAGCGTGAAGAGCAAAGAAGAGCCCAAAGGGGCCGATTTATTTCAAGTCAACCCTTATATACAAGTTCAGATAGTACACGTTTACCAATCAGAACCAATTATACAACGAACAGTTTTACCTTTAAGTTACCAATCACAGGAGAGATTCAAACTTGCGCGCCGGACAACACTTTACTTATAGAGACATCTACCGGTAGCAATATAAAATAATCTCAACTAACACACCACATCGTCACAATGTCTTCGGCTGAGGTGAAGGTGCGTATAACAAAAATACACATTTTTCATTTATGTTTATCTTTTCCATATGTAATACCGCTACATAATTATACGACAAAATGCATTTGTACCTTGACATTTGATTATGAACGGATGAGATTCATTGCTTTCGAAAAACATGAAAATTGACATATTTGACAAAATATTTGACAAAATGAGTTTTCTTCGCACTCAGACAGACCTCAGTGATGAAAGTGAAACACAAACAGATTCTTCTTTGAGTAGACTTATCGATTTAACAAATCAGCCGGTTGTATTTCAGAATTGCAATTTCCAATTTCATTAAAATATAAATTAAATGCCTGATGTTGTTTCCTTCTTGTTTTTTCTGTTTTCAGTGACTATTCATGTAAAATCCGAGAAAAAAAGCGAAATATCGAGCTTTTTTTCGAGGATTTTACCGAGTCACCACGAGAGACGCTATCATAAAGTGCGAGCGAAAGCGAGCACTTTTTGATGGCGGGTCGAGTCAGCAGTATTGTTTGTGTGAACTGAACCATGCGGTTGGTTTGGCAGTAACAATGATATCAGTCCCTGCAATCCTTTTGTTTAGATATCAGCCCCGTGGTATGTATGGCGAAAAATCACCCTTGGTGAGAAACTGAGAAGCGTCGTTAACAGTTACACTTACAATTGATATGGCAAAAACGTTTTAAGAAGAATAAAGTCATAACATGTAGGTTTGCTTAATTGTGATAATGTGCGAAGAAAACCATTTTTACAGGCTGAATTAATGTAAATAAATTAAGTATTATAGTTCAGATATTATGTACACCTAGGCCTGTCTTTCACACTTAAAGCACACCTGTAGTGAATATCGCTTCAAATTTGTTTACATCCAAGTTTTAGACAACCGTAAGGACAAGGTAACTTTGTTTTCAGCGATGGGGCAGTACATGGAGTAAACGATTTTGTAAGAATAGGCGAGCGGAAGCCTAAGATCCCATTCAGTATAGTGGACTAACTAATCCAGGGGTCAAATATGGCGACTATAACTACAAAGATCGCAGTCTTATCCGCCAATAGACACTGAATGGATATCCCGTGTGGAAGTATTCAACTGGTCAGCCATATTTGACCCTAGGACTTGTTAGTCCTCTATTCTGAATGGGGCCAATGACGATCGGTAGTGTAAATCCAAGTAGCATATAATGACATTTGCCGGTTACTACATTTGGAAATAAGAATTTTTCTTTTACTGCTATGGAACATTTGGCACATGAGTTCTATCTATGGTGGAATAAACTATTTGATCGATTTTTCCATTGTTTGCTAGCTGTCAGTATTAATTTATGGGGAGCTTAATTAACTTTTAATATTCTGTGTTGATCATTGATACTGCATTTCAATTTCCTTATAATATAAATATCATTGCGTTGCCATTATTTTAAAGATTTGTCATGGATACATTTCTGGTATGAAAATGATTACATACCGTTTGTCAATAACTTGTGTATATCTAACTGTTTGTTATCTTTAGTCCAATAAGGGTCATGCCTCAGTATAAAGTAAATACTCAAGTTAAGGTCGGTCAGGTCAGTGGTGGATATAAAATGCCCCATCCCCATCCAACATAAGGTAGTGTAGAGCTCCCATTGAATGTAGCGCTCTCTGTATCAGCATATGGTTACATCTTATTTTCACAATGAAACACCTAGATTTGGTCATAAATCTGTGGCTGATGTGTGCGTGTCACCTGATATCAAGCTGTGCAGCGTTTCCTTGCCCTGACCGTTACGAAACTGTAGGAACTTATTGTATGCGCCTCGACAAGAGCACCCTGACGTGGAACGATGCCCGTCAAAGGTGTATGAGTGAAGGAGCCCATTTGGCTGTGATAGATACTGCGACGAAAAGAGAATTATTCATAAATTATCTGAAAAGAAAGGGAGGTAAAGTCTAGGTTATATTGCATCGATCGTGCGATGAAATTGTAACCCTATATTCGATTTTCCGTACGACATTTTTAATTGTAAGTGGCAAGTTCGCCGTATAATGTCAGGAACTTTGCATAACCAGCTATGATATTGCTGCGGGCATAAGTTTTCAAAAGTTGACAAAAGTTTTAGCTTGGCAAAATCATACAATATACTGACGCCGTGAAGCCGTACGCTTTCGAACAATTTCGAACGGTCATCTCCCGCCTCCGAACAGACGCCCCACTAAGAGGGATAAACGGACAGTACATGAACTCCGTACTGGCATTGCATGGCAAATGTAACCTAGGCTAAAGCGACATAACGATAGTGTTGAGTATTTTAAGCATTGTATATACATTAACACCTACTGGTTAAGACCAGCCAAGTCCAGGTGCTACACATGCACGGACGGACATACAGTAGAGAATGGAATTGACATATTTAATCATAAATGTTGACGACATTAACGTTGTTAAAATAATTTAGCATTAGTTTTGATCAATAAAATCACAATGTTTTGTTCCAATCACAAATACCCACTTATGTTTCAATTATGTATGGTATTTAAGATAAGCAGTTTTCTAATTGTCTTTTTTGAAGGTCCGTCAGTTTGGTTGGATGGTAAGGACACCAATGGAAGAAATAACTGGATATGGTACTCGACCGGTGTCAGCGTTGCCAGATATCTATGGGCTAGTGATCAACCCGATAACTTTCAAAACACTCAGGAAGATTGTATACTTTTGAATGTTTTCAGAACCGACGGTTTTCACGATTTCCCCTGTAGCCGCACGCATAATTTTGTATGTGAATTTGATCCAGGTAGGTCGATGTCGGTAACTTTTGTGACTTTGTGTGTCGTATATATTATAATCATCGAAATGCTGCATCTGCAGTTCTTTGCTAGTCTCAGGATGAGGGCGGATTAAAATGCCTTCACCAATACAGCACCCCCTCTCCCTCGTGCCAAGGAAGAAATGATGAAATAACTGTGCATTTTGATGATTTTTCGTAATTTAAGCTATTAAGAAACCTCATATAGACCTCACCATGTGTATGCTTTTCCCTTTTCGTGTACGGTACGAGACGCCTACCGAAGTTTTAATTTTGTTTATTTTGACGTGGGTGACAAAGCAAATGAATAAGAGCAACATGTCATAGTAAACGCCCCGCTTTTAAACGGTATGTCTACAGCTAAAATTGGCAATAACATGCAACTGCCTATTCTTTGTATTAATTTTTATTAAATTAAAACGCACACTTTCAGTAAATGGAGCTTGGGGATTCTGGAAACCATGGGGTTCCTGCTCTGCGACCTGCGGTCAAGGTCTGAGGACCCGTACTCGTGTATGTAATAACCCAAAACCTGTTGGCGCTGGTAAACCCTGCCCTGGAGATGATAGACAAACTGAACTCTGCTTCCCGGGACAGTGCCCTAGTGAGTAGGATCGTATTAGGTTATCTCACTAGATATTTCTTATCTGAGTGAAGAAGTTATACATATAATTAGCAATTGTTTTTTTCCTATTAAATACTGTTATAAAGATTCAATAACGTCAAAATGTGACTTTCCACTTTTTCTTCATTGTTTTTAAATTAAGTTATGGAAACATTGGTGTGTTTTGTTGTAACTAAATTCAAAATAATAATCAAATTAAAGATATGATGCTATTTGTAATCTAATCCGTCTGTGCTTTTATCTCACGGGACAAATAAGAATCTGCAATTATAACTCGTTTAGAACAAAGAGAAAACAAATGGCCCTTCGTTTGATGGCGCTTTCATAACCATGTCAATTTACTTCAATCTTCATTTTTAAATTCATGTATTTACTATTGGAACACGTTGTGTTTTTTATCCTAGCTTGTCAAGTACACAATGTACCTGGGGCCATGAGCTCGGTATCCGTTGCAAGAATAAATGAAAATGAACAAGTGAAGTATTACTGTCTACCGGAACACAAACTGGTCGGCGGAAGTCTGGTAAGAACATGTCAGCCTGACGGTACTTTCACAGACGAGGAGCCGCAGTGCAAAAGTAAGTAAGGAAAACGACACCGATTTAATAACCAAATTATCTGTTCTGGTCGGGTGGAACAATTATGGCGGCTCTTGCCTACACGGATTCAATTGACCTTAAAAGGGTACATTGTGAGATGCAGTTTGTTGGTTTTTATATCTTGCACTAGTTTACGTCATATGTGTTGGTTTTATTATTTTGATTGACATATCTAATTCCTGATGTACGATTAATTCTGTCCCAATGCCGTGCAAACGGTGTGGATATTTTACTATAAAAGACCCTTTGTATAGAAACTAATGTCGGGCATGTTATAACCAAGCATGTTTTTCAATATCTCTAGAATGCTGTGGAATGGCACGTTTCATCGTGAACGGCTATCCTGACACGTCTGCCTCCTTGTGCTATGGTGATCACGTCAACTACCTGTGTGACAGAGGTTACAAGTCCTCAAACAGCACACCTATCGTCTGCTCGTCACCCTACGAATGGAAGTACATACCACTGCCTAATTGTGAACGTAAGATCAGTTTATTTTCCAGGTAAAAATAACTGCCTCACAGTCGGCGGCAGCTCTCTCACTCTCTATATATGTGTAACCTTTTGACCTGGTTGTGTTATTTAAGAACTTATCTTTATGATTCCTCATGATGATTTTGATGCTGGCTCTCTTCAGTAAAATCGAATTGAGATTTAAACAATTTCAGAAACTAGACGCTTTTGGTTTTATATAATCATGCATTCCTACGCATATATTTTAATGTATTCATGTCACCATCGTTAACAGCCACTGGCGACTGCAAAAGCAATGACCTCCAGGCCCCACAGGGTGGCCATAAAGCTTGCACCGACCTTGACCAAGGGAAGTTCTGCTACATGAGGTGTGGCGATGGTCAGACATACACCGGAGGGTCTGATGTATTTGAATGTAACGCCAAAACTGGCTGGGCGTGGCAAGTACGGGTACTTGGAGGAGCTGATTACATGCCTAGCGCTGTAGGCAGGTGTCAAGGTGAGCAGCCATTTTTAATTTGCCGCACTAATTGCAGTCTTTTAAAAATGTTCACACCTTCAAAATGTGTATATTGGTTTATATATACAGACTTGACATTTAATATGGAATATTTTTTTCCAAATCATTTTTCATCAGTTTTTTCCTATTTTGCTGACTGATAAATGAAAATAAGGCTTAAAATTGGGTTTTAATAACTTTTAATTATCCTTTTGATGTCATTGTGTCTTCAGTTAATTAATGGAATTTGCCAGAGAAGCAAACAAAAACACATTGCCTATTCTATGTCATACGTCAACAATTAAAAGAGATATTTTGGATCTCCATATTTTCCAAATTATTTTCTGTAAAAGAGTTACACGCCTCACAAAGAACCCCCATGTCAGTGTCTAGTCACAGTAACGGTCGCTGTTACGCTTGACCTCTTCTGTCTGCTACCAGCGCTGTCAAGGGGCAAGGCATTCCTTGGGTTAGGTTTTTAGAGTTAAATCTGGAATAACATTCCAGGCATCGGTCAAAATCTGTCCAATTTGGTCCAGTTTTGTTGTAGGACATGTAGGCCATTGATTCGGTGAGTAATGGCCTACCCACATATTGTCTATGTGGTTCAAATGTGGCGGNATTTCCTTATCATAGAGGTAAACTTTAGAATTATAAGTTATTTGTTGTATGTCATTTTATTTAATTATATCTCACCTTTATTACAGGGTGAAAATTTTAGTTGTAGCAATAAAATTTTACACAACCAGAGAGTCCGTCTGTTACACACATATGGTCTATGTGGTTCAAATATGGCGATTTTGATTACCAAGGTAGCTGCTCATTCCCTTGGTTTTGTAAGTAATCTGCTATTAAAAGTGCTATGTGTGTACCGGGAATTCCACCGTGCAACCTAAAATTGTTCCTAAGGTGCCGCCTATCAAATGATAGTCAAGTGGTTCTCAGATTATTCCTTTATTTGATCTGGTTCAGGTTTTCGTGGATGACCATCATTGGTATTTTGGCACCAATGTGGTATCCACTCCAATTACTGACGCTGTTAATGACCTTTGTCACTTTAGACGCGGCACACGCTTAGTCGTTGGCCTCTTCTGGATGTCTGTAAACTCTGTCTTGACTGGTTGAGCGGTACTGGTGAAATCTGACCTCAATAAAGAAAGTCACGAAGTTTCAGTGATCAACTCAGAAACGATCAGGGTCCCCAATTCATTAGAGAAACATACAACGATGTTTTGCTGCTTACAGTGGGTTCCCCTGAGGTCGTCTGGTATTCTACCCAGCTAAAACCAGTTTGGTGTTCGCTAAGGGCCTTGAAAAATGCGTTTTGGTGGCAATTTACCCCTCAATCTGAACGGACTGGGTGGTTTTTGTTTAGTTGCAATAGCATATCCCGACAGACAGTGGGTCCTGTACCCTGGTGGTAAGATTTCAGTACGTTGGTTGTGGCCTCTGTGTAGGTACATCAGTCTGGGCATTACTCTATAAAACTGTGCGGACCGTTTCGTTTGGCGCAATTATCTGTCTGGCAATGTCTGTCTTTTTCGCGCCCTTCTGCCACAGATAAACAAATATGCAGAGCACTGCATAGCTCATTTTACACCTTGCAAAACCGACCACCTGCATGCAGAATTTCAAATTCTTCTATGCAGTAGTTGCCGACATATGGATACTTTTTTGACAGAACCATGCTTTGCCAAAGCCAAGCTTTGACCTGCCCAAAGGAGCACTACCCAATTAAATCACTGCATATTACATAATGCAGCAGCGCAACTAACCTGGTATTCAGTTAATTGGAAGCGACACACCTGACTACACACTTCTCCATTCACATATCTTATATGAGATCGGAGTTTTTTGAAAAAAGAATGCAATTTTTACCTAGGCATACCTTCGAAACTGAAATATTCCATATTAAATGTCAAGTCTGTATATATATATATATATATATATATATATATATATATATATATATATATATATATATTTTTTTTTTTTTTTCGTAATAGCAGTTCTTGGTATTAAGTGATTAATTATTTATTTAACCAATCAATTAATTACAGGAACAGGCAACGCGGTGGAGGCAGTCAATTCCCTTTTAGGCGCAAAAGCTTCCTCTTCTCACAAGTTCGACCCACGTGATGTTGCCATGGAGATTATTCAAGCAACAGTGACAAGGCAGTATGAAATATACACCGGCGTCACAGTTTCTTCCAGAATTTACATCTTCATTCGGACGTTATTTCCAAAACTTGCTGATGATATGTTGCGAAAAAACTTTACTTATATTAGTACCATCATCGAATATAAGAAGCCAAGAAGTATCAATGAATCCATTATGTCTTTATTTATTTATTTATTCTATTATTCTCCTAGACACCTTGCAAGTTACTTTTTAAGCTTAAAATATCCAAAACTATTCGTTTTGGTCAATAATGGGTTTTGTTACATTTCTATGAATTGTTCACAATGTATCATTTGTGGAATATATCTAATACGAACAGTTGTTATCCCTTTAAATAAGGCCAAATATATAAAAGTCAAGGTAATTGAATAATCTTGAGTTATTGTTATTAACCTTATGAATACTTTCAAAGTATGAAAATGAATGAAGGAAGGCATAAGATTATTTTTCATAGTAACATCATTTGTTTGACAGATTTGAGATTAAAATGCCAGAACGCTATACAGCCTTGTATCAGAATTGTTTACAATAAATGTTTAGCGTATTTTTCGCAATTAGTTTGTTTTAAACCATTCTTTTTTTCAACTGAATGTATTGTCATGGTACATGTAAAAGGAAAGAGAGGTCATCATCTATTTGAAGCTCACGCACATGGCTGATTATTTGCCCTCAATGGCTTTATGTCTAGGTACATCAACGTGTATAACAGAGTGTTTGAATGTGGAGTTAATGCAAGCCAAGTCGCTGTCTGGTCACTGGTATTGAATAATGGACAGGCGCTTTTAACACTTTCAGTTAAATCCTCACTTATATCCAGAGTTAATGATCTAAACCCTAATCCTTTCTCCTCAACCGAGTTTTTGAATCAATCGTTGTCGTCACAATTTGCTCAAACTTTCTTTGGTTGTAAGTGAACACAATTAGTCAACCCTCTCGTAGAATAGTTTGTACGAATCAAGGAGTTAAATATTCATTGCATTCCTGGTAGGCTTCAGATGGAGTCAAAAGGCAAGAAGGGTGTTTGATAAAATTATTTTATTTCTCTACTTTACACGTTTCTCTCAAATACTATTTATACAGAGAGATGACATTTTTATAGCGAGATGAATATAATATAATATAATATAAATGTTCAAAAGAGGCGGCATTGGTATAATTACGATACATATATTGTGCATATCCATATGCAATCTACGAAAGCCTGGAGCGTTCCTTGAAAGATAAAGAATAAATCAAACTAGCTACTGGGCAATATAATTATTTTCTAAAATTCCCAACAGCTTAATCAACTTAAAAAAAAAAACTAAAAGAAGAAACATTAAAAAAATTAAATGAATTTATAATCAATCATTGATGACAAACCACTGTGTCATATGAAATGTAGTATACATTTATCGAATATTGATAATATAAAACGGCCAAATATGTAATGAATCACAAACATGAATTAAATGAATATTATTGTAAACTGAGAACCATTAAACATTGCTATTGTAACTTTCCAATTTCATGATATGACAGTCAAATATACACGTGTATTACATATTTATATATCTCAGTATCATTATATGACGGTTAATTATACAAGTATCCATCACATTTATTTCTGACCACACATGGTTATTTTAGAGAGAATTTTTGCGAAAACATTTGTTAACTTGACCTCTCTTTAGCCGTTTGCTACATGTACATGCATTCTTTCAGTTTTTATATGTTGACGTTGATTTGGAATGCCGACTGCGGTCCCCAGATAGGTAGTCTTTTCGTCACAGATAAAGGTATAATCTCTCCAGTATTTATAAACTCAGTCTGATGACACCCTGTGCAAACCAAACGAATTACGCTTAGGGTCTTTCACAATGTACTGTTCATGTGAAACAGCAGCTCTCACGCTGTCATTTTCTTTAAGATACATTATTTCTGATACAGAGAAACAAGATATTTCATCCCTCGTGTATGTAGGATTAGTAAGGATATTTACCCAATCGTTTCCCTCCTTTTTTTGGATGTTGCAAAAAAAATCGCCATCTGGAACATCCGTTGGAACGTTTAAACGCAGTTGGCAATACACGACCCAGTAGCCCCCTCGCTGCACCTGTAAACTGTTGTCCTTCTTGTCATATATGACGCCTTTCATGTCAGTATTTGGAGAGTTTTTCCAGGAAAAAACTAAAACATAAGAAATAACATCACTTCACATGGCTATTGCATTGATTTATATTAATTAACAATTATTAACTTTGGTTCAGGTCATTCCCTGGCCAGGTTACATCTTCAGCTGGAATGATAATAGATTTGCATTTTTTATTTCATTTTGGATAGTTGGTAATACACGACGCAGTAGCCCCCTCGCATTATAATTTACTTTCCAATGAATCATTTTAATTAAAAAAAATCAGTGATCCGTACTTTTTTTTTTTTTTTTTTTGCACTTGACTATTGCACATGCTCTCCTCGCCATACAATATGAACTGTTTTTTGTATTGGATAGATGCGGGGATGAAAGTCGGATATCGGTGAGTGTCTGCCTTCAAATAGTAGTTAAATGAAGTACCTTATTCTGTGATAACTTTGTCAAGGTGTCTAAAGAGGGTAGTTCAAGTATACTGAATATAATCTATGGATGTATCCCTAAGCGGGAAAAAAGGGCAAAGCGATACTATAACTACGAACACAGAGAACGAAGGCTAGGGAAGACATTATTTCGTTTGTCAACACTCATGCTCCAGGAGTAACGAACATTCACTATATGATAAAAACCAACACGCCTTTTCTGATGAAAAATGACAAATTGTAAAACCCAATGAGATAAAAGATGATAACAAATACAAAGAGATAACCAAATAATCTTAAAACAATTCTTGGCAAGGGCAACTTTTCATTTTTAACACACAAATAATGTTATGTGTTGAATCCCACATTGTAATATCTACAGGAAAGACAACTATAATAAACTAGAACAAGTGACATGGATACTTTCTAAAAATGAAAAAAAAAAAACAACATTTAAATGGTTACACGGCCCTCATATCTAAGAAAATGATATGCCGATTAACATGGCCTCAGAGTGGAGAAAATATAACTTACATCAGCAATACCAAATGGTAGACACCACCGACATACTGGGGGTATTGTAATATGTGCCTTGATGTGGCGCGTCCTGATCACGTGAGCTGGTAGAGCGGGAATAGTAGTCTGGGATGTGCCATGTTAGGTGACACGATGATCGTCTCACCCAATTAAACAAAAAATGAGACGCACCCCATATGGCTTCGAGTCCGAAGATGAAGCCCATCTAGATAAATTGCTAGCGTCAGATGTTATACAACCTTCTTCTTCTGAATGGGCTTCACCGCCCGTGTAAGTTAGAAAGAAAGGTAGGTCAGTTAGGCATTGTATGGACTACAGGGCACTAAATAAGATCACAGTAAAGGATGTCTATCCCATTCCACGAATTGAGGAGTGTGTGGATGAATTATCTGACACATGTTGGTTCAGCACGTTGGACATGCCCTGGGGTTACTATCAAATCGAAATAGATGAGCAGAGTCGAGAAAAAAACGGTATTTGTCACAAAATATGGCTTATTTGAATTCAAGAGACTTGCTTTTGGTCTTTGTAAGAACCCAGCCACATTCCAAAAGTCAATCAATTTAGTCTTTAGAGGATTAACCTGGAAGCATGTCTTGGCTTATTTAGATGGCATTGTTGTTTTGGGTAGGAGTTTTGAGCAACACTTGGAAAATCTGTTCATGGTGTTTAAGCGGTTTCGCGTACATGGTCTGAATTTAAAAGCAAAGAAGTGTAATTTATTTCAGAAACAGGTGGTACACGAGAATGGTGTATCAGCTAATCCAGATAGTGTAAAAGTGGTACAAGACTGGCCTACACCAAAGTGAGAAGTGAAAAAAAAGGTAGAGCGGTTTTTAGTTATTATCATAGAGCACATATTAAGGATATTGCGAGCATAGCACAGCCATTGTATGTTTTAATAAGTAAGAGCATACGTTTTAAATGGGAAGAAAAACAAAAGGAGGCCTTTGCACGTTTAAAACAGGCATTAGTTTTCAGTCCAGTTTTATCATTTCCAAGAAACAATGGCATGTTTATCTTAGATACGGATGCCTCAAATGAAGCTATCGGTGCTGAACTGTTGCAAATTCAAGATGGGGAAGAGCGTGTGATTAGTTATGGTAGCCATCTGTTATCTCCAAATCAAAAGAAATATTGCACAGAAAGAAATGCTAGCTGTTGTTAGGTTTGTTCGTCAGTATAGACATTATCTGTTAGGCAGGGAATTTTTAGTTCGTACAGACCATAGTAGTCTAGCATGGTTAATGCTATTTAAGTTCCTGACTGGCATGTTAGCAAGATGGATAGAAGAGCTATCCCAATTTAGATTTAGAATTGTTTACAGATCAGGAGGTAAACATACCAATGCCGATGCATTATCTCGCATTCCCCAAGAACACCCATATTGCGATCAATACATAGACGGCTGCGATGTTAGTAAACTCCCATGCAAGGGATGTCGCCATTGTAAACGAATAGAAGAATAATGGGGAGAGTTTATTGAAGACGACGATATCATCCCATTATCAGTTAGAACAGTTCAATCTAGTTGTGGGATTCAGTTATTATCGATGCTTTCTCATGAGCAACTTAGACAAAAGCAGTAAGAAGACCCTGATATGAAGATTATTTTATTTTGAATTGAGAATGATTAACAGCCTAACAAAAGGGAAATCAGCCTTCAATCACCAGCTGTCAAATACTACTGGACAAATTTACAGCTGCCACTTTTGAAAAATGGTATACTGTATTATCAATGGCAAAATCAAAAGTCAGTGATACCTTGTTATATAGTGCCCAGGGAATTGAGAAATGAGGTGTTGAGGTTATGGCATGATGCTGTGTCTGTTGGTCCCCAAGGGATTTTAAGAACATTATTCAAATTATATCAATCTGCATACTGGTACAGTACACTGGTACACTGACTGTAAATTGTATGTACGAGCATGCAGTGATTGTTGTAAAAGCAAAAAGGTAAATAGAAATCAAAAAGCACTCTTAACAAATTACCATGCAGGTGCTCCGGGTGAAAGAATACATGTGGATATCCTTGGTCCCTTTAACACTAGCGAGGTAGGAAATAAATACATATTAGTGCTAGTCTGTCAGTTTACAAAATGGGTAGAGGCATACTCTATCCCTAACCAAACGACAGAGACAGTAGCTACGAGGGTTGATTGATAAGTAGTGAGCCTCATATAGAAGGGGTACACATTTTACAAGTATTTTGCTTTATTTTTCAACATAGTCTCCTTGAGTAGCTATACACTTTTGCCAGTGAGTTTTGAGAGCCTCTTTGCCTCTTTTATAGAAGCCCTTCTCTTGGCTGTTCAGAAACCCCTCCAATTCACGTATGACGTCTTCATCTGACACAAAGTGAGTACCTAAATGACCTTTTTCAATTTGGGAAATAGATAATAGTCAGAGGGAACAAGATCAGGCGAATAAGGTGGATGTTCTATCAGTTCAAAGCCACACTCGTTGATTGCAGCCATGGCAATGACAGACTTGTGAGCATGGGCATTTTGCAAAAGTCACTTGCCTTGCTTATTTGAGAGTGCTACCTCGTCGACATAAACTAACCAAATGACACCAAACTTCGGCTACACGCCTTTAAATAGTCAGGGAATAGAAGGGCTGAAAAGGGCTATCCCTGCTTAATCCCTTCCACGCGAGGCTCACTACTTATCAATCAACCCTCGTACGATGATAGTTAACAACTTTATTTCACGATTTGGTTGCCCGACATACTTACATACTGATCAAGGGGCCAATTTTACCTGTGTTCTTTTTAAAAAGATATGTATGTTAATGGGCATAGAAAAAACACGCACAACTCCTTATCGGCCTTGTTCCAATGGGCAGGTAGAAAGGTACAATCGTACGTTATAAAAAGCAATTAGATGTTTTTTAGAGGAATGTGTTAATAATTGGGATGTGCATCTACCTCACTTAACTAGCGCATTAAGAGCTGTGCCAATAGGCAAACGGCCCTTACGCCCAATATGATGATGTTAGGAAGAGAGACTAGGCAACCTTTTGGTTTTATGTTACAAGTGACTGACTTAGAGCTGCCAGAGCCTAATAGTTATACTGCTACATTCAGATAAAGGTTGGTTGCAGCTCATGACATTGTGAGGAAATGTTTAAGTACATCATTAAAAATGCAAAAAGAGTATTATGATGCACACATGCGGTGGCCCACAAGTGCACTCCAAATTCCAAACGACACTCCCAATTCTAAACCTCACTCCGAATTCGTAAACCTCACTCCGAATTCAAAAAGCTCACTCCGAATTCAAAAAGCTCACTCCCAATTCCACTTTGCCAATTCTCATCAAAGTTCTCTTCGAAAAGCTCACTCCCAATTCCACTATGCCCATTCTCATAAAAGTTCTCTTCGAGAAATCTTATGAAACAGTAATTCGTCTGGGACAATTTTTTTTTAGCTGAGCGCTTCCAGTGAAAGGTTCGAGAGAGTTTTAGCAAACAGTGCGAATTGTGTTACATTTTGGTTTGCGTGATACATACCTTACGAAAATAAACCAACAGTTTACGTCACAAGGTCAATTGACTTCTCCAGCTATTTTCAGTATTTTTCACAATTACACACACACACATACACACACTTTCTCTCGCCAGGGACACAAATTGGGGGCAAGAAGCAATTTACAGGTTTACCATTATAAATAAAAGGACAAATTAAGTGACACTGCTCCCAATTTTCTCAACATAGGATTGATGCTACTAATAATTCATAGATGTCAGGGGTGGATCCAGGGGGATCTGTTTTTTTTTTTTTTTTTTTTTTTTTTTTTTTTTTTTTTTTTTTTTTTTTTTTGTATGAGGGGGGTGCAGGGGGTTTTTTTTTTTTTTTTTTTTTTTTTTCTAATC